TTCTCCAACTTGTGACTGCGGTGGTGTACATTATTCCATGAAACCGAAGGATTCTTTATAGCAATACAGAACCAGGTAATAGCTACGAAGACCCACAGGCGCCATATTTGTGGAAAAGTTGTAGCTCGACAGAGTCGACTTTGCAGAACAGCAATAGAATCGATTCAGCATATAACATCAGGCTGTCAAGTTCTTGCAGGAAACATATATCTCCTCAGACACAATAACATGGCAAAGGTCGTTTACCAAGAATTAGCCAACAAAATTGAAATTGTAGATGACGCTTGCCCTTTTTACAAGTGTAGAGCACAGTCAGTTATACTGGTTCATACGGCACGTCTAGCTATACTGGGACCATTATAACGGACCACACTATTCCCCACAAAAGGCATGATATTTTACTTATTTTACAAGAAGATGAATATTCAAATATCGTTGAAATATAATTACCATACTGATACTGCCATACTGATATAATTACCAATTACTGCCAGTGTTTCAACTGCCTCCCGCAGTGCTACTTCCTACGCCCTGAAGACGACCTGCAAAGTGGGCCGAAACGTCGGCAAAATTAAAATAATTACTATATTTTAATTTAGTATTTATTTGGCCGCACCCCCGACTATCTCCTTCTGATATAATTTCCATAGGATGATAATCTTCCCAAAGTTGTTGCAGAACAAATTCGCAAATACCAGGACCTAAGTGAGGAACTCAAAACATTTGTATAAGCTTGATAAAGTGAGAATTTCGCCCTTGGTCATTTCTGCAAATGGATTGATTCCGGACATGACTGTGAACTCGATGAAGGACTTGGGTCTCTCTATGGCATGCTTGGAACAAATGCAGAAAGTAGTGTTATTCGGAACTGCCAGTATTCTCAGAAAATTTTGGAACATCACAAAATAAATGTTTCTAGCCTTACTCTTAATTTAGATTCGGGAAATGTGCTGTTATCGGCTTATTCGAGAAATAAGGGGTCTGACTAAATAATAATAATAATATCTACCAACGGACTCATACCAACGTCAACAGTGGCAGGCGCGGATGGTTTAAAATTACCTATTGATGTGCTAAGAGAGGCTCAACACTCAGTTGTCTTAGATACAGCACGTATTGTCCGAAAATTTTTAAATATTTGGAAAAATAATATGAAGGTGGCTGGACTTCTTGTTTCCCACCTCAGATACTTAACTGAACTCTCCCACCTCAGATATTTAACCCGAAATAGCAAGAAAAAACAGGAAATAAATAATAATAATGTTTTATCTATTCTGGGACAATTCACTTTAGAATAATATACAGATATAGAAATGTGAGATTTGGAGCCTCATAGAATAACAAAAAAAAACAGATAGACATCATGAATATAAATAAAAGTATAAGTTACCTTCGACCTTTAATCAATTAAGAAATAAAAGTGTAACTATTTTAATCATATGAAACATTTAGTGAAATTTATTTTTTACTAACTCCTACTGATATGATATGCATAATGTCCGTGAAATTCAGTAAAGAATTATATTTACAACCTAAATTTTTTATAAAAAAAATTGTGTGTAAAAATAATGCCATTTAAAACCATTCTGATTTACAAGAATGTTTTTGCGCCATGGTTTTGTAGGTACTCTGTGGTAATACATTGAGGATTGAAGTCGGTGTTTGCTTTTGCATTGTGGAAATCTGCCGCAGGTGTTACAAATCCTCGTCACCCTCGGTTGGTCACGATTTCCGAATGGATATCGTCATATGTTTTTGAAGCTTCTTCCTGTCACTTCAAGGAGAAAAAAAATATATTTTCTCCTCTAATTATTTTTTTTATTTTTATCTCTGCTACTTATTGCCCTTAAACACGCTATATTAAATTTTGGATGATAATTTTTTTTAAAAACTAATATTTAAAAAATATTATATAGTCCAGTAACCTTCCTGATCTGAACCCGCTCTAGTTAAAGTCACAAATGACATAGATACTGCAATGAACGAAAAATAGATAACTGTACTAGGACTCCTGGATTTCTCCAAAGCTTTCGATTCCTTAGACCATTCTATTCTCTTTGCTAAACTGAAATCTCTATCCTTCTCCAATAGAACATGAAGACAATATAATACAAGATTTTCCACGATCCTCTGATTTCAATCTTTCGTCTCCAACCGCTCTCAAGCAGTCAGTATTCCGAATCAACCCTTATCTTCCTGCCGTACTCTGTCCTCTGGGGTAGCCCAGGGCTCGAAAATTTCCTCTCTCCTTTTCAATTCCTATACGAATGACCTTCCTAGTTTAATCCACCATTGCTCATATCATTTATATGCCGATGACTCCCAAATTTATCTATCCTTTCCGCCCACTGACTTGTTAGCTGCGTTTACCAAGATTCAGAAAGACCTTAATAGGATCAGTGCCTAGGCAAACTTGAATAAATTCAAGCTGACAGCAGCAAAAACTCAGGTCATTGTTAGAGGTTCTAACTCCCTCCTTCAGCTCCTCTGTAAAAAGGTAACGGAGCGAGCTAAGAAGGAACGTTCGTAGGTTTTAGTTCTATGGGAGAGAATATAGAGGTCAAGACACGGGATCTTGTTTCCTGTGAGTGGAAGAAGGCGGTAGATATACGAAGGGTGCTGGCAGTTGAACGTTTGGTAGGAACAAATTTCCTAGGAAATATTGGCGGCGGAAGGAGAAGAAAAGCCACTTTAACTTTTAAAATGGAATAAGTTCCACGTTTGTGAATTTGCTTATTTTACTATTCATGATTACGAAATAATCACGAAATGAAACAATGTTCATTACTGTGTACGTGTATATATTGAACATACTTGGGTCCTTAATGTTTTCAATACTGACTTGGATGGAACAAAAATTAAATTTTTGTTTCATTCGTGTTAACGAAACCAATTTTTTCCGTTAGTCAGAACAAAACTAATTTAAGGAGGAATATAAGAATTTGAGTTAATTTAAGGATTAAACATACCTAAAATTAATTGATGCCTATTTCTAACCTTTCAACGATAGCTAGTTCAGCTAGTTCAAAAAGGTATGGAGTGTGGACTCTTTTCGATATTTTTATCAAATTTCACAGCTATTATTATTGTCTTATTCGCAACAGTATTATTATTATTATTTTCTCTCTCTTTCGCGCCTCTATCCTCAAGGGTAATTGGCGTTTTAAGTGTTTCACTGTTTGTGGAACGTTATTACATTTTTCACACATGGGCGCTTCGAATCCTCTCAGAAGGTAGCCATGTGTCCTATCCTTAATCGCAGTGTCTTATTATTTATATTAATTTTAATTGTTAAATAGAATTTAATAAAATTGATTCTAGAAAATGTTTAAAATATTATTCAAACCGAACGAGCAGTTTTTTAGCTATAAGCGTGTTAAAAACAGTACTTTTGCAGATCCGGATGAATTTTTGTAATTTTATGGATGGAATTTGATGACACTGTTACCTACTTGATCATTTGTTTTAGATCCAACTTTCCTCCAAATTTGAGCCAAATCGGACGTGGGGTTTTCGAAATATAGTCGTTTCAAAGAAAATACGTTTGCACATATGTAAGAGAAAGTAATGGATGGAATTAAATAAGATTGATATAGAATCATCTTATCAACAATAGCCATCTTTCTTCTAACTTTGAGCCTAATCGAACTACAATTTCTGAAATATAGGCATATATAAGATAATACATTTATGCATTCGTTAGCAAAAGTATTTTTGGTGGAATTTTATTGAATTAATTAGGAACCGTTTAGGCAGCAACCCGCACATTCTCTGAAACTTTTTTACTCTGTCATGAATGCAAAGCTTCCCTACCTTTGGTTGTGAGGAAGCAATTTGAATTATTCTTATTTTGAATAAATTTACATAAACTAGTTAATGACTTTTTTTTTAATAACTGATTAAAACATTTTAAAAATAAATAAATTGTGCAACAGACTATAATCTTTCCGGTTGCATCTCCCCTAATTTTTGTTTTGAAAATAGATGGTGCATTAATATTTACTTGAGTATTTAAGTAGAATTTTTTGATCATTTAATCTGCTGAATTTTTTTCTCATGTTTTTGAATATTTTATTATTTATTTCCGAATTTAATTTATCTAAATATTGGGGGGTGGAAGAAGAAGTTGAGCTTGGAAGATACTTTTCTTATACCAAATCAATTACGAAATTGTTAACTCTATAACTAAGTCAATTGGGAGTGGCCATAGAGGTGCGAAAAGCCACAACAAAACCCGTTAAAAAGTTCAAAAATGGTTAGTGTCAAAAATAACTTCTCAAAGCACCTTATTCCCCCCCTTGACCTTCGATAACGTGTTAAAAATGTTCCTTATTAGGAAATAATAGGATTTAAAAAGGGCTTTTAAAATAGTACAAGCGAATAATTGAAGGTACATTAACCATCTCAGATCCTTAAGAATAAACTGTATATGTTTCGCATTTATTTTGTGTAGACCAGTCCTCAAGTATGCCTTTTTATTAAATAAAATAAAACGTGTAACGTGAGTGTAGCTATGAGTATATGAGCGTAGGCAACTGTACTCATCATATTAATTTGTAATAACTTATATTCATAACAGAGTTTATTAATATTTCTTATATGAAGTAGAGAAATTTATGGAAAAATGCTCGATACAATGGGAAATGTGCTGTAATTTTCTGAGAAATTTTGAATAATATAGAAATAAGCTTAGTGGCATTTTGAATAAATAAAAAAAATATCTATGTACGGCTTTCATAGTCATAGTAAAGTATGAAGCTTTACAGATTGTGTCTGTTGGATAGGACATATTGATAATATTATATTGTAGGTACAAATAGACATCTTTCACTGATGTCGCTTAGAAGTGGATTGCATTGGGGTGAAGAAAAGCTATCTAACCTGAGAGTTATCACTGCGGTGTACTAATATATATTAGTTAACTAGTGATTTACTACATAATCAATTTATATAATATCTTATGTTTTGTTAATATATTTTAAATGTATTCTCTGTTTCAGCACTCGATGCTCTATTTCTTTCACCATTATGAATTGCCACTGATACTCCAGCAGGCACACCTTCAGGAATTCATCATACAAGCTCAGGTACCCGAAAACGAGGAGAATAGCGAGCCCCCGAGCGATGTGGATCCTGAGATTTCTCCGATGGCTAATCAGATGTTGCCATCCAGTTCTGGACCATCCGAACCAAGGATTCCACCAATTCAAGATGACGACTTGAGAAGATTGGTTAATAATATTCCAGAGGAAGGTAACAACGGACCTGGGCCTGTCTGAGTGGGGGTTGGGCCGATCTTTATGTTGTTTGAGTAAGCAAGCTGATATTTGATATTACCCGAAAGGGGTGGACTGTTGAATATTGTTATGCTGGCGAATGATCGGTCAATGTCTTCATTACTTCTTTAATGTATATTGAAAAAATATCAATATTGTGTCCTGTCTACATTGTTACTTGACTTTAAGACTATAAAATGTTATTTTCTATTAAGATAATGAGTCATTTACTGGGTTTAGAATATAGAATTCTGAAATTGTATATACATGGCTATCTTAACATGGCGGCCTTTATTATTACTATAAATTGGATTTGTGTCAAGATAATGTTTTAAGAATTTTAAGCAAAGAATACTACCACCTGTTACTTTTCTATTTTTTCTTGCCTTATATTGATTATATCGTATGTAATAATAAGTATGTATATTTTTAAAAATTAATACTCTGGTAAAGCTTTGATTTAGTAAGGCTACTTCTTAAAAATAAGAAATAGCTCCTACAACATTATAAAGAAATATTTAGATAATAAGTCTATATAAATGTTGTTCATTCTATAAACCTAAACGTTTTATTATTAAATAATAAAGTTCTCCTTTCTTATTCTTTAAATGGTTAACAAATTGATATGTTTAATGAGGGCCAGAAATCATAAGAAACATTTTGAAATAGTAGTAATTATTATTACAAGAGCTCTATAGTTATACCATATTTTTAACTTTGTTTAAAGTTAAAGCTTCTGTTTGGTGTGTATGCTTGATGTCTAAAGTTTCTTAAATATTATATCGAAATCATGTTATTGATAATATTGATACTTTTCACTATATTTGTAGTTGTTCTTTTTATGTTATAAAAGGGGTTATAGTATATTTAAGATAGGAACCAATTTAGTATATTTTGTTCCACGTTAAAACTTTAGTGACGTTTGTTTATACTTCCAAGATGGCGGAGGATGCAAGTTGATTGATTATTGTATATTGGTTTTAGTTATAAAATAATTTAATACATTTTGGTTGTATTTATTTTATTTTTATATAATTTTAGTAAAATTTAGTTGAATAAGTATTTTTCTTATCTGAGCCCTGTTTTTTCTTTCTTTTTTTATTATTTATTTGTATTTTAAACCTTATTTTTGTGACAATAATTGTTAGCCAGAAATTTAATGTCTTGCAATAGCTACTAAACAAAGTCTGCTTGGCACATTTACTTTCATTTTTTAAAATATATTTAGAAGTTTCCATAAATATAAATAAAACAATATAATATAATAAATCCTAATAATGTTATATATTTCAGTCAGTTGTTATAAATATTTTTGACATTTTCCTTAATCACTTATTTAAATATATATCATGTAATTGAACTAGTTTGATAAATGTAACATTATTAACAATTTCATTAAAACATATGTGAATACTAGGAGTCAAATTATTGAAACAAGTAGATTGCTAACTGGTCATTATTATTTTGTGGTTTCTGGTTCTCATTATTTTTGGTGATTTTTTTAAAATTAATAAACCAATCAAATTAGCTGTTGGTATCAAATTTCATTATGATAAAGTACTGTATTAAAAGTAGATGTATATAAAGCTATGTATCATATCCGATGTACCATACTGAATTCTATGTGGGCTTAAAAGTTGTCAAATCAAAACTTTTATCAATACATAATATTCTTGTCAACTATAAACAGGTTTAATGATAAATTTACCATGACAATATTTATTCTGTTTGATATTTATCGAAACTGATTCTATGTCACCATAGAATTTTTAATTAATTATGAGATGTCTATTTGTAATCATATATAGAAATATATGTATGTATTTGTGTGTAAAACTACAGTTTAACAAATGTTTGTTTGGTTGACTAAAGTCATTGTTTGGCTCTATATATGTTGGCAATATGAATTCAATGATATAATTGGGTGTTCCATTTTATATTCTTATTATTTAATTAATTGAATTAATGTGGTATCTGACTATGTTTTTATTTAGTAGCATTTTTTAGATTAATGGTGTATATGTGTAAGTATGTATTGGTATAAATATATTTTTTATATATAGGCTGTTTCACTTAAGCATTGGATCGTTTATTATTATTAAAAAAAAAAAAAAGAAGTAATATTTGTTGAAAGACAATTTGAGATAGCCCGTTATCTAATTATTTTAATTTTTCTGCCGTTTCTTAATTTTTTTTTTCTTTGCAGTTAGGTGGTAATAAGTATTTTCCCAGTGCGTGACGTATTGTTTTTCGTTTACTTTAAGAGATTTAATTTACTTTAAGTCCTTTAAGCGCTCCAACCAACAGCAGAGCCGCTACTTAGGATTTTTTCAAAAGGAGCTTGATTTAATAGGTTGTATATAAAAAAAAAAAGACCGTTTTTCAACCAAACATTTTATTATTATTTCTTTGATATAAAATACAATTAATCTTTAAAATATAGTCCATTGTTATCTACCATCATTAGCTATGTGCTTGCGAATTGCTCGATTCTTTGGGATGGCCGTAAAAAAAACCCTTGGACCGCAAAATTATCAAATTTCTTCTCTTGAAGAAAATGGGCCATAGATCTAAATAAGTAGTAATCAGATGGCGCGAGGTCTGGGCTATATAGTGGATGAGGCAGGAGTTTTTCAGACAAGTGTTTTTCAATAACTTTTAACAAATTTTTATCCGCTTAGCTGATTTTTGAGGAGTAAGTTCGTGAGGTACCAGTATGCTGCTCTTTTTCATCTTCCCTATGGAGAGTAGACGGCTAGTAACAGTATCTTTCAACACAACACACTCCCTGACAAGTTCGCGAGTACTTGTGGACAGATTTGACTCAACAGCTTCCTGCAGAACCTCATTAATATCCTTTAATGGTCGCCCAGAGGTCTTCTTCCTATCCAACTGCTAAAATTTTCATACTAACGCCGCGCAATGCGCTGGTCAAGAACACTTTCCCCTTCTTATTTAATAATTTCACGAGTTGCTCCAGCGACTGTGAATTTTTTTTTCAGTAATGCCTTATAATTACGAGAATTTCGTCGGTCACTTTCATGTTTCTTCTTTGAAACAAATAACTAAACTGAGGATTTTTTTGAAAAATTCGAATGGAATTGAACAAGCTTAGAGAATGCTCTAAAAGGATTGTTAAGTATTGGGAAGTATTAAATAGGATTTAAATATTTACAGTCCTTTGAAATCTTGAATTTGATAAAACGGTCATTTTTTTTTATACTCCCTATTATTTGTTTTATCCTTCCCCCTGAACAATTGTCTACTTAGTTTTATTAAAATTATTGTATATAATATATTTCGAAATAAATGTCATCATCTCATAACATTAACTCATTTTATTGAATGAATTAATTTCAAAACAATAAAAAAAACAAAAGGGAGAAACAAATATTTTTCCTTAGCCTATAAATAAAATTTCACTCAAAACATGGCGCGCTCTAAATTCTAAGAGCGGAATCTTCTCTATTTATAAAGGAAATATATCTTTTTTATTTCTAGCCAATAATGTTAATTTTTATTTTTTACTCTCCAAACGAAGAAATTTCAAAATTGATTACATGTTTATGTTACGTTTATATCATTAATTTTTTTACCAATATTTTATCAATCCTAAACGTTTAGCGCCATATTACAGTTGAAATTTGTGAGCAAATTTAAATCTATTCTGGTGATAATTGACAGTTAATCCTCAAATTCCTGTGAAACACATGTATGTATTTACAAAATATATCATTTATTATATACGTATTTAAACTTATACTCATTGTTTTAGGAACAGCTACTTCACGTTAATGTTTTGTTATGGCTGTGATGATTTATCGTTGTTTTCCTTTTTCGATGTAATTATTATCCTAATTTCTATATCTATTTCTTTCTTTTTATCTAATTAAAATTTTCAGTTTATCCATCCTAGTGGGGCTTGTTTTCTTTTTTACTTTTCGTAATATGTTGTCATAATTACTTTATTTATTTTATAATATTTTGTTTCATAACAAGCTCTTCAAAATATTGATTTTAGTCTACTTATGTAACTTAATTTTATGACGACTTACATTTCATCTTTAAAACTACTATAATATTAGCATGGTTAATCAAAATGTATTGTTGATCAAAATATATGTCCAGTGTATGTTGTTTTTGTTTTTTTCAGTTCTGTTTAAAAATATATAGATTCTTAATACCTACATATAGATTATTTTTATGATGTAATAGTTCATGTTGTCAATTCGATGTTATAAATTTACGATATATATTTTTCATGTTATGCTGTTTATCAATGGATAAAGAAAATACAGAACATATTAATTATGCATTTATTCTATTTATGTAATTTATATATTTTTGTTTGTGTAGTAATTCTATGTTAATTTCGCCAGTTTTAGTTGTTTTTTTTGTTTTTGTTTTTTTTGTTCATATTTAATTTCCTTTTATTAAATAGAATATTTTCGTACATCGTTTTTAAAGTTTAATTTGTTCCTATGTATTCTTATTTATTACAGATATCCTGTATTTTATTATATATTTTACAATGACACGAATTCTATCATATATCGCTGAGTTCGATAAAATAGTTTAAAAAATATTACATCAAGATTATATGGGTTATAAAAGAAAGCATATTATACCGTGCAAATTTAACTTCAATGGTGCCACAAAATAAAACAAATGTAATTTTCATTCAGAATATTAGTATACTTTACTCTTGGCACTAATTTACATGACTTAGTTATAGAAAAATGACCAGAAAAATTCTGAAAGAGAAGTAATAAACAAAATGATGCCAAAAAAAGTAAATCTTTTAAATTGTATATATAATTATCATGGACAAAAACATGTTTATGAAATTATCCCGACTCATATTATAACTTATAAATAATAGCAAAATTGAATACTACGGATAGATGTAGATAAAGTTTTCTTGTTTTTGAAACGTAATTCTCGGATTTATTTAAGTTAATCTTATTACCAGATGATTGCGCTATGTATATGGCGAACTAGCACACCGCTTTCTGTACTGTTCAAAGAATAACTGAATTTTCATCTTTATGATTTTTGAGTTTTCTTTATTAGAAGGCTTACCGCGACTTGTTAGATCCCACATATGCTCATAAAGCTTATAACTTTGTCCGCATTTTTAGCAATTTTTCGACTAAAAATATTAAAAAACTAAAAAAAAACTTGGATTTTGAATTCTGAATTTGATGTAATGTTGCCCAATCACAAGAATCAAGTTATTTATTAAGTAAATTAATACGTTATTTGTCACACGTGTCTCCGTAATTAGGAATAATTATGGTTTCAAATTCACATTAGAAAATACCACCAAGGAAATGTTTATGTACTATTAATAAACGTTTATTAGTTTTATGTTAAACAGTTCACTAATGTTTACGTTTTTTGTTCATAAATAAATAAAATGTTTTTATAAGTGGCATTATTAAAAATGAGTTACAGTTAAGTGTGTTATATTCTACGCCTACTTTAAGTATAATAAAAACGTTGGACGCTAAAATTTCTTGCGTTAAAATTCGGCAAATAACAGATCTTCGTTACTGGTAAATGGAAATATAATGGTAAATATAAAACAATAAAAACACAATTTAATTAATGTTCTTATTTTTGAATCTATGAATTTTTTTTTCTAAAAAAAAAATATAATAAATTCTAAATTCGCGCATTTTAACTGCACGAAAGGGCATATTTATAAACTACGTTGAATTTCCTCTAAAACCGTGTAATGATCATTTCGCTACTTTTATACATTTTTCCTTATGAAATTAATCTATGCCATTGGAAGACAGTAATTTGATTTTTTTTCTATACACTATTCTTATATTTATTAGTAGTACTTACCTTACTAGTGAGCATCCATATTATTAAAGTTTTATACATCTATAATAACATATACAATCTATAGTTTTAACATCAGAGCCACAGAATTGTCGAGAATGTATGGAAGAAAACAATGAGATATTAACGTAAAATCTTAATCATAAATACAAAGGTCTACAAAGTGTTTCTAAAGTCCTTTCCAAAACTTGTAATACTGTACAGCAATCGTAGTAAACAACGCGCATTGAATCGATAACAATTGTGAGATTGACTTTTGTCCGCCTAAATAAGTCATTTTTATCAGCACACACTTTCCTAGAAGTTCCTCCAACATAGCTTACTCGGAAATTGCAGTATACTGCTCAAATTTTGTATGTTTATGTTTTTGAGGTTATTGAATTTGCGTTCGAGCCATTTGTTCGACAAGATGCTTGCGTAAAAAACAAAATATTAATTTTTATGCTGTCGTGAATTTAATTCTATAGGTAATATTTTTCTGTTTTAAAGTTATGCGAGTACATATAAAATAATATATTTATGATGTAAACATGTTACTCACTATTGTACCACTATAATCTTTTTTGTGTAAAATAACTATAAATTAAATTAAATAATTTTAATTTTATATATATATATATATATATATATATATATAGTTTAATTAAATTAATTTTCTATTCTCTTTTAGTACGCAAACGTTTCGCTTCCTTTGATATTGTACATTTATTCAGTTCGTAAACTTGATATGATGAAATCGGAATCGATTAACAAATTTTTAAACGTCTCTGATATCAATCATTCTATATTGTCACATTATTGTGACGGCCGTATTGCATATGTTCTGTTCGTGATATGTCCTCCGTACGCGTTTTCAAAATAATCTGCCATGAGTGTTGCTTTACAATAGTATCCCTTTCCTTCCAGATGTCAGGTTTTTGCAGGATCTTCGTCTCTATCGCCGTGGGACACGTCACCCCTAGCTGCAGGTTTGCGTACAGTGCCCAAGAAAGTCAATCTGCGACATTTGGAATTTGGAAGTTACATGTTCGTAATTTCTCTAGTCAAGGACCGACTCTAGGATAGATCTATAGGAATAAGAAAATTAGACAATTTCAATCTGTCTATTGATGTGCTGACTCAATTTTTTTTCTTTGACTATCAAATTTAAAATATTGTATTTATTCAAATGTTAGCAATATTTTGAAATGTGATAAACAATTCTGTTTTCATTTTAATTTATTTAAAACAGTTATTATACGAACAAAATATTTTTGACATTATTGCTCTTACTTATCTACTTATATTTATATGAAGTATTTAATGTTAAATAATAAGTTTTTGTGCAAAATAATTATTTCATGCAATAAGTATTTCAAGTATAAGTATTTCGCATAAAATAAATATTTGCTGTAGATATCAATAGCTATTATACTCGTGATATGTTTATAATTTGGTCAGTATAGACAAGCAGATTCGAAAACTGGTGAGATAGTAATTTAAATACGCTAGTAAAAAAAAAAGTAAATAAATAAAAAGTAATGATAGTCACTCTAAATTCAATCTTCCCGCGTCTTAAATCCTCATTAACTTCCGGGGTGGCCGGTTGGGGCAAGGTCTGCAAACTGTTTTTAGAAATCCAAACCTTTGTTAACAATTCTGTGTATCTAGTTTTTCTGGCGATTTGCAAAATGGACCAAAATTGCTTGCAATCGTTTGAAATGTCGTAATAACTTTGTATATTTTTAAAAACCGATGTTTCAGTTGCCTTAGGATTCACTGTAAGTGCCTAATTCTACCCGCACATACCGCTAGGTTTGATCAAAAAATACCAGCTCACCAGCTCTAAATATAAAAAAGGTCGTTTTCATTCCTTCTTCTATTAGCTCACATCAGGGCATTGTTAATACAACAATTAAGTTAAAAATTGCGGAACATGAAGGGAACGATATTAGTTTTTCACAAATGCAGTTAAACTTGCAAATTTTAACTTTGGTTTTTTCTCCTAATGTCGGCGATGACATAGGTATAAATTATTAAATTGTAGTCAACGGACTTTTGGGGTTCCGCGAAACAACTTTGGATAGGGACATCACACTGCTAGGCTGTCCCTGAATTTGTTTAATAAGGAACTTCTTGAAAGATTTTGAGTAAGCTTGTTAGTCTATGATATGTTATATGTTATTGAAATAGATGACAAGAGGAAAGCTTGATAAGTTAGTGAAATACATAGAATGCTATTGTAGATATATTCATGAAATATTACAAAAAAGTGGTTTTAACAAAGACAAACTGATTTCAATTAAAGTGATTTTTTCCTTATTCACTACGGACCAGTTGTTAACTGCATTAATTAAATGGTTTTTTTAGTAATCGTTTCGTATCCAACTAAAAACGTGGCTTACTTATAAAAATCATTATATTTATACAGTGTCCCGTAACTTAAATTTCCTACTTTTCTGCGGAAAATGGAACCATTTTTTAATAAATAATTTAGCTCTTGAGGCTTTTAAAATATTATACCCTTTTATAATGATGCAGGGATGGCTGACCATGATATAATATGAGATGGAATTGGTCGGGAGGTGCGGTCAAACAAATACCAAATTTTTAAAAAATAGTATGTTTAATTCTTACGCCGACGTTAATAGTATTTTTTGTAGTAAAAATAGTATTTTTACCTATCAACTGCCTCATGCAGTGCCACGTGCCATGCCCTCATAAAGACCTGCAAGGTGGGTCGAAACATCGGCATAATAATTAAAAATACTATTTTTTTATGTTTAAAATTTAGTATTTATTTTACCGCACCCCCTCTCCCTCCCCCCGACCAACTCCTTCTCATACACCCTTTTATATTTATTTATTATTAATATGATATAAATATACCCTTTTAAATATTTCCCTTTAATTTACGGGACACTCTGTTTAAATATGAGGATTTTTATCCTTTTACCACCACCATTATATAGAAAGCTGTTAGGACTATTTCCACTTCCAGTGGTTACCCAAGTATTCTAAAAAAAATAATAATTTATCCGTACGAGATCATTATGGCAATGTATTAGACATCTCGCCGATCGTCACCCCTAATAATTGAATGAAAGCCGATATTCATCGCCATTAAATCATCATACTCCAATGCCAATCATTTATCGAGAGTTTCGAAATCACACCGTATTTCCCACCCTTATCGGCTAGGTGGTAGATCTTGGTCAGTTTCAGATGAAGATAAAGCACAGGAATTCGCGAAACACCTTTTAGACATATTCACACCTCATTCGGAATCCTATTCCACCTAAAACATAACTGTTGAAGAACCATTCATATCAACAATTTCCGTTTTCTTACATACTTATTCCCTCTGAATTCAAATATGAACGAATAGGGAATGAAAAAAAAAATGTATCTGGGT